GTGTGTGTGTGTGTGTGGCCAGCTCAGCCCACCAGGGGGCGGGGCTGGCTGGCATGTGGTGCTGGGGGATTGAACCGCAGTCCCTGAGCTTTGCTTAGCTTGTTCTAAGTAGGTGCTGTAGACCACTGAGCCATCTCACCAGCCCAAAACTATATCTCTTATAGATTAAAATAGGTAAAGATGGCTAGCTTTGTTTGTTTGTTTGTGATAGTCTCACTTCCTAGCCCAGCAGGACCTCAAACTCACCACATGGCCCAGGCTGTACTCAAACTCACAACCCTCCTGCCTCAGCCTCCTGAGTGCTGCATTCATATGTGAGCACGACTGGCTGCAACTAATATTTTCTGGATCAAAATTTTCTCTTATAACAAGATGTAAGAGAAAGTTACAGGTTTACAATCAAATAAAGTAAGTTAGAAAATCTGCAATGTGAAATTTGAATTGGAAATATCAATATAAAACACATAGATAAGTAGAAATATAGATAGATAAACATAGATATATAAGATAAATATAAATATAGATGATATTAGATAGATAGATATAGATGATAGATAGATGATATATGGATATAGATCATAGATAGATATGATAAATAGGTAGAGAGATATGATAGATAGATACTTAGATACACAGATAGATACACAGACAGACAGACAGGCAGACAGATCAGCAGTGCTGTCCACAAGTCCCAGATAAGTGGTAGCCACTAGTACCTTTCAAAACATGCCCCACTGGGACTCAATCAAAAAATGGGTAGCTGGGAATAGAGGCTGAGGCAAGAGGATCGCTGTGAGTTCAAGACCAGCCTGGGCTACAAAGTGAGCTCAAGGTTGGCCTGAACTGCATAGTGAGACTGTGTCTCAAGAAGAGAAAAAAGGGGCCAAGGAGAGAGCTCAGTAGAATAAGCGCTTGCCTGGGAAGCACAGGGTCCTGAGTTCAATCCCCAGTACCAAAAAAAAAGGTCCAAAAAGGGGAAAAAAAAAAAAAAAAAAGAAGATGGGCAATTTTAGGTTTAGGGCAGATTTATCAGGCCAGCTGAGGGAATTGGTTATTCCACAAAACAAGAAGCTCTCAAAGACAGACAAGGACAAAGCAAAAGGACATAGAAACCAGCCTAAATCACTCTCCCTGGCTAAATCTGGAATGCACTGAGCCCCGAAAGAGAGAAACAATGGAAACATGCTGAATTATCCAATCTGTGTCCCCAAAACAGTGCTCAGCAGAGACAAAGAAAACCTCAAGACCACAATGCCTCGCCCATCCCCACGGCAAGTGGCCTCCTAATTCCAGAGAAAGGACTCAGCGTGGCTCCTGGCTTTCCAGCGGGAATTGAGCTTCAGAAAAACTAGATCACCCCTTCTGACTGGCAGACGCGCTTCCTGGGAGGGAGCCCACAATAAATGTGGAAGGGATGAGGCAAGCAGGAAATTGATATTTTGCAACCCCTCATGAAGTCTCCGTATCAGGCCAGGTTCCTCGGTGGATGCTAAAGCCATTAGATGGAAGGCAGACAGGGAGCCAGACGTCCATGTGGAGCCAGAGCCTTATGCCACAGATGGGCTGCGGCACGAAGGGAGGGAAATACGGGCTCTCAACGCAGAGCTGGCCATCGCCAGTGATAGTGGGGCGATGGGACATCATGCGCCTCTGCGCGTGAGCCGCAGCGTGTAGGCACAGCAGCAGCCATGAGCTCCTCAGCCAGCAGCGTGAGCCGCTGTCTGACCCGGCCTGATGCTCACCCCCTCCAGAAATGAGGAGCAGAGGAAAAAGTTAACGCCATAAGGAAAGGACAGGGGGATTCCGGGGCCTGGGATCACACAGCACATGGTAAGGCCTCTTCAACAACCACGCGTCACCAGAAGAGGAAGGGCAGCTGGTTCCAGAGTCACAGGGACTTTTTAGACAGAACAAGCAGACCAACACGCATGGCATCTGAGAAACTCCTGATTGGATGAAAACTGCTGTCGAAGACATACCAAAATCCAAATATGGACCAGGTAGCAGATGGCACTGGGAGAAACTATGATTAATTTACTAGGTCATATTTTAGTTTCAGAAATCCCGGTGCTGCAGGAGGCTGAGGGGGGCGGACTGCAAGTTCAAGCCCAGCCTGGGCCACACAGTGACTTAGTGAAAAAGGCTTGAGATGCAGTTCAGGGTGAAGGCCCTGGGACTGACTCCCCTCCAAAGAAGAAAAAAAAAACCTTACAGATAGTTAAACCAAGTGGGACAAAATGTTAGCAGTTGTTCTGTCTAGTTGGTAGGTATGTTCTTTTCACTTTTCTATATCTTTGAAATTTTTCAAAGTAATTTTTAAAATAAAAGTCATATGACAATGACAAATATGCCATGGCTCTAAAACACACAGGAGCAAGCAAGCACAGTGGTGTATAGCTGCCCATCCATCGTATTTAACTAGAAGTGGTTTCCTGAAATACTATTTGTCATCTTTTTTTTTTTTTTTTTTTTTTTTTTGTACTGGCACTCAAACTCAGGATCTTGCACTTGGTAGGCAGGTGCTTGTGCCTACTGAGCTACAATTCCCTGCCTGGAATATTGTTTGAAGGAGAGATGTAAAACCACATTTAGCCTCCATAGGAAAAATTCCGTGATTGATTAGCAATGTCTGCCATGGGTACAACCTTCAACAGTGGTGTCTTGCATGTTAGCTATTGGCCATCCTGGCTCTGAATCCTCCAGGTAGGCTGAGCTGAGAGAATTGGTTGATCCAGTGATTTTGCATGGAAGGGAAAGGGGGAAAGAAGGAAATTGGAAGAGCTGTCTGAGATTTACAAAATGCATATGTTTTGTTCATGCTGAGCTGAAACATATGTGGTAAGATTTCAATTATCACAGGATAAGAATTCAGTATCCTAAAAACTCAAGTGTTTTTAAACCTGGCGCTACTCCAGTCTTGCTTTTGCCTAGATCTCTAAATGATGTGTTTCTTGTAAAGTTCCCACCTGTCTTGGCCAAGGGGTGGGGACTAGGCCTTGGTCTGTGTGGGGACGGGCTGGAAGAGAGCTGCAGCTAAGAGACTACAGCTGGAGAGGCCAGCAGGAGCGGGCAAGGTGGGTGACGCCCCTTGACAGCCGAGAAGCAGCCCAGTGACCCCTGTTCCTCGCCAGGGTCAGGCCTTGTAGGAGGCCAGTGGGGGGGACTCTAACTGGGCAAAGCAGCCCGTTGGTGAAGCCAGCCTCAGGCGACAATCACCAATCAAGTCACACCCGCTACTGTGTTGCAACCGCTGTGATGAGCTTGTTTGAAGAAATGCTCATAGAGAAAGATGCCCGGCAGCTCCGGCTACTGAACCATGGAGAGCACTTGGACAGGGGCTAGCAACTGCCGACCCCTCTGCCCACAATGAGGCCTGCTGCCTGAGCAGGTGGTCACCCTGCCTGGTGCTGGGGGCCGCTCTTGTCCCCAGCAAGGCCAGACACTGTGTAGGCCAGGCCTGGGAGGCAAGGCCTCTGGACCCTGTGTTGCCCCCAGGGCTCTGAGGTGGGATCTGGGAGCCTCCCAGGCACTCGGCCTCTGTTAAGCAAGCTCAGTGTTTATTTGGTGAAGGCAATGGCTTCCAGATGTTAATGGGCCATGGGGCCTGGGAGCCGGCACTGGGCTCCTCTCCTGGTCGCTAATGGGGAAGGAACGAACGAATCTGGCGCTGATGCCTGGCCAGATGGCTGCTGCTGGGCCCTTCATGGCAGATAAATCATCCCTAGAGGCCGCTTCCAGGACCCTTGACAGCCGGGGCAGCTGAGGAGACAGGAGGGGGACCAGGAGGCCAAATGGGCCTCAGGGCTGCGGATTAGAAAACCGAGGGCCAGAGCACTTTCCAGGAGCCTGCATCAGGAGCCTGGAGTGGTGGGGCAAGGAGAGACCCTAGTCCCAGGGCCTTGACGCTGGGCCGGAGGGCACCCCAGGCAGTGGCTCCAGTCTTTTCTAGGGAAATCTTTTCTTCTTGGGAGCAATCTTTTGGCCTCCTGGAACCACAGGGAGCTTGGCCTTTATTAACTCTTACCCAGCCTGTCTGCTCCCATTCTGGCCACTCCTCCACGGGGAAACTGAGGAGTTTGTTTTTTTTTTTTCAGCACGGTGCTCAAAGGCCCCCAGCAGGCAGAGGACAGGGCTGTGCTCAGAAGCTAGCCACGTCTTGTCCCCAGCCCAGGCCTCAAGCACTCCACCACTGCTGGACCCTGAGAGGTCCAGGATGAAGTCACCTCCTGGTCCCTTAATCAAAACCAGCCGTTGGGAACCTCCCCGCCCCCACCCTGGCCCGAACATCCTAGAAAGCAGGGGCCTCTTACTAGTCTAATGTACAAAACTGAAGCAACTTGTCATCTGTGTATGCTACACTGGGTCGTGAAGGGCGACAGTCCCCAGCAGTGACCGTGCTGAGATGGGAAGTGCGGGACACCAGGGACACAGGACCGTGAAAGGCCCTTGCTCTCCTGGAAGAGAGGGGACTTCCCTGGCAAGGAGGGGGCTGCTGCCGGATGATGGGTTGCCTGGCTCTGCTGCCCCTGCCCACTCCCGCCACCACCTCAACATCCCCAGGCCCAGAGACAGCGCACTGAGCCGGTGTGCTGGGCCAAGCCGTGGGCTGCCTCTCGGGCCTCCATAAATCCCCACCTTTGGGATGGGCCTGGAGGCCCCACTGCCTGCCTCCACCACGGTCCCCTGTCTGTGTGAGGGTGGCGCCCTGGCCTCTACCTCCCCTTAGCTGTTCTGGAACCCCAAGGGGCTCCCGGGGCCTGAGCTCTGCCGCCACTGCCGCCACTCCATGAGCAGGAGCAGGAGAGGCCCACCTGGACGGGGCCTGCTCTGCCGTCACCTAAGGCCGTGCTCCATGCTGCAGGTGCGCAAGGAGGGAGAGCAATGTGCGGTGCAGTGCTGCACACACGCTGCCAGGGTCACGCTCGGCTCAGAGACCTGTGCACGTCTGGGGAGACCTTGCCCAGCTGGAGTCACTGGGAAGACGCAGCTTCCCTGTGGGGGTGGGGGCAGGGCACAGCAGCCCTGGCTGCCCCGCCCGCCACCATGTTCCCAGGCCGCCACATGTCTGGGAACATCTGGAAGGAGCCCAGGCCAAGGCATTGAGCTAACAAACGACAGGGCTCTGCGTCCAGGAAGGAGCGAATTCAACCCCTCCTGGAGGAAGCCTGTCCAGGTCACTGGGGTCCCACTGAGGCAGACGCGCTGCCCACCTGGCTCCCGCAGCAGAAGGTGGCGCCACACAGGGGCTGGTGTGCTCCCCACCTGCACGCCATCCCCCAGTGGCCCAAGGCCACCCTGGGTCTGACCTGCTCCTAGCAAGAAACTTGTTCCCAGACAGTTGGTCAGGAGCAAGGTCTCTCCAAAAGCGAGCCCCTGAGCCACACGTCAGTCTGCTTGCTCTGTGATCCGCTCTGGGATACCTCCCGCCCCCCCTCCCGGGGCTCTAGGCCAGGGCAGACTGACACGCCAAAAACCGAAGCTGAATGTGTCGCTGGGAGCTGTAAACGCCATCTGTCATCGGGGAGTGAAGGCACGCTAATCTAAACATGGCCCTGGAAAGCGTTCACTACAGCTCATAAATACGCAGCACAAGAAAGCTCTCCCAAGGGTGACAGCAGCCTGGCCCTCCCCCACCCCCGCCCACCCCCAGCCTAGCCAGCCTCACACCTTCCTTCCCCTTCCTCCCAGGGCCCCTCCAGGGCCTCCAGGCACCAGTGACACAGCTCCACTTCTCCCCAGCACCTGCTACTTGGCTGGAAAATGGGACCCACACGGCCCAGCCCTCAGGGCCTCTCAGCCCAGGAACATGACACGATCACACAAACACCAAATGGCAATTGTGCGAAGCAGAACTGGGATGGAGGAGGGTTTAAGAGGAGACCTGAGGTCCACAGGAAGTGGAAGATGGCTTCCGTGGGAAGGTGGAAGCTGAGAGGGGCAGGGTAGGCAGAGCAGGAGGAAGAGTAGGGTGTGCCAAGGCCCCCGGAAGGAGGAGTAGTCCGTCAGGGGAGACTCAGGCAGTGCAGGGAGGAGGGCAGAGGCCCGAGAGGGCTGCACACACTACAGGGGACAGCCCTCTTGCACTGAGCCAAATCTTCAGCCTCACCCCACCCCTTGCACGGCTTTTGGTTTGTCTTTTTAAGTGTGAGACAAGATCTTCCTGAGTTTGCCATCCTGGGTTTGAATTTGAGATCCTCCAGCCTCAGCCTCCCAGGGTATTGTGATTACAGGCTGGGCCACCACAGAAAAGTCTCAGCCTCTATACCTGTAAATAGTTTTGTGCAGAAAACCCAAAGCACCAGCTTCGGGCTGGGTGGGAGGTGTGGGAGAGTGCACCGCTGCACTCCAGCTGGAGGCCTCCTGCACCACACGGGTGTCAGCACTGCGCAGCCCCGCGGGGTGCGGGACAGCAGCACCCTCACTCACCTCTGCCACTTGCTGCTTGTCCAGGTGAAAAACCTGTCCCGAACTGGTGGAGGCGATCTCCTCGTAGGCCAGGTAACCAGGGTGGGTGCGGTCACCACAGTCACCCGTCAGCACAAAGACCACCTGCAAGATGGACACGTGGCCCGTCTGGGGTCTGGATGGAGTGGCTAGGCCCGTGGTGTTGGGTCCATGAGCCAAGGCAGGGCGAGTGCTCCCATGGGTCACACACACAGTAGGTACTCAATGAATGAGAGAAAATCTACAGCACAGGAGCAGGGTGTGGAGTTGCTTCATCTTGGTGCACCCCAAGGCTGCAGGACAGAAACGCCCAACCTCTCTTCTGAGCCCTGGGACAGTGTGGGTGGGATGAGGGGATAGGAGCAGAGGTGTCAAAGGCATGGACTCCACAGGTGTGTGGAAGGGGGCTGGGCGGGCCTGGCCAGGAGCCAGCCTGGCAGGAGGGCAGGACCCCACTCAAGCGCTCCAGCTGGAGGCCCGGCCCGTGCTCACCTGCGACTGCTTCAGCTGCAGGATCTGCAGCAGCTCCTCCTTCTTGTGATAGTCCTTGGCACGGGCATCCGAGAAGACGTAGATGTAGGAGCCCGGGTTGGCGACCTCCACAGCAGCCTTGATGGCCCCCACGCTCATCTCGGGGCAGTCGCCACCACCCTGGAGCGAGGGGGCATGTCGGCAGCTGCGGCCACCTCCTCAGACAGGGCGCTGGCGACACCTCCAGAACCCAAGGGAGTGGAGGTCCCCTCACGCGGGGCCTTGGCGCCGCCCAGCCAGGCTCAGCTGCGGCACCACCTCTCCCTCCCAGCTGGGCAGAGCAGCACTGGACCTGCTTGGCCCAGGTTTCATCTCACGCAGGCACTGTGCAGTGACAGGGTCCCACCCTGTGGACCATGGCGCGGGAGGGTGATGTGACACCAGGAAGCCTCGCCCGCAGATTTAGTTACCAACATGGCACGTGCTTGGGGCAGGGCATGGGAGCAGCCAGCAGAGCCCCAAGAGCTGCTCACTGCCCACGGCTTAGCAGATGCAGGTGCAGAGGGCAAGAGGAAAGCGGCTGAAGCTGCCTCCCCAAGCCTCTCTGCAAGCCACCCTGGTGTCACCCCAGTACACCTTCACCCCATCCTCACGTCTGCACCCCTGGCCGGCTGCTGTGGGGTTTGCACACAGGGTTTTCAGTAGACACTTCTTCCTGTCCTCCCCACAAGGCCCTCTGGGCCCCTGAGAGAGCTGGGCCTGCGTCTCCATGCCCTTGACTGGGTACAGATGCTTCTCCCCCCTGCCCCTCTCATTTACTCATCAAGTAATAACCTGTAGGTGCTGGGCACAGGGCTCAGGAGGGAAGGAGCCCATTGGGTACAGCTCTCCAAGGTCCCCACACTGGGTGCAGACCCTCACCAAGCTGAGAGGAAGTCATGGGGAAAAGTCGCCATCTTGGCCTCCAGGTGGGGCAAAGACCCGGTTTCTGTCATAGACTGGGAAGGACAAAATAGAGGGCCACAGCAGGGGCTGGGGCAGCCCACCTGCACATAGAGTTCTCGAAGCTCCTTCTGGAACACCACCGGGTCCACCGTGAGCGTGACTGGGCCGATATCTGTGGGAGCAAGGTTCAAACATGCTTTGGCCCAGAGCAGGCCACGAGCCCCAGGGAGCTCAGAGATGGAGCAAAGGGCAAGTCCTGTCCCCACTTCCCAGCTACAGCCCCTGACATGTGACCCAGACACTCCTGAGAGCACCCCACTCCCTACCCTCCCTTTCCACCCATTCCCACTCAGTGGGGAAAGTGGAAGAGAAAGACGAAGAAACAGAGACGCAAACAAGCGATCCACTTTGGAGCACACAGCACAGATCCACCCGCAGCAGGTCTGTAAGCATCAAGCCTTCTGGATTCCCTGTGTGGACATCGGTACATCCGCAGGCACAGTGAGGGAGAGTGCCCGGATGTGCCCACTGGTGTCAGCCAGGACGTGGCGCAGGAGCGTCCATCCAGCGCAGGGCAGATGCAAACGGCCCAGGCACTTTGGAAGGCAGCGGCAGTTTCTAAAACTCTCAGCATCGGGGAGCCGTGTGGCCCTATGAGGCTACATTCAGGTGTTCACACAGAAAGAGGCAAACGTGCGCCCGCAGGGAGCCCTGCACGTAAACATTCTGTCCCAGTGGTGGCCCAAAGCCAGCAGCATCCCACAGTCAATGAATCGGGAAGACCACCACAGGATATTTATGTACAACAATCTCCCTCATCCATAGGGAGCTCATGCCAAGATCCCCAGGGACCCCCAAATCACAGAGTACCAGGCCTGCGTGAATGGTCTTTCCCTACATTCACATAGTACCTGTGATAAAGTTTAATTTATTTTTATTATTTATTTATTTTGGTCTTTTCAGACAGGGTCTCACGGTATACTTCAGGCTGGCCTTGAGCTCACTTTGTAGCCCAGGCTGGTCTGAAACTCGAAACGATCCTCCTGCCTCAGCCTTCCAAGTGCTGAGATTACAGGTTTGTACCGCCACACCTGGCTTAAAGTTTACTTTATAAGTTAGGTAGAGTACGAGATTAACAACAACAATGAAGATAAAGTAGAACAATGGTAACCATAGGGTGTAGCTGGGCATGGACGGATTACCCCTGTCACCCCAGTACTCAAGAGACAGCTAGGAAGAGCGCCTGTGAGCTCAAGACCAGCCTGGGCTTCATAGTGAGACCTTTTCTCAAAAAAGCCAAAAACAAAAAAGCAAAATATGCTGTAATAAAATTGCCAGCATCGCTGTTCTTGCACTCTGGGCCATTACTAAGTGGGTAGGGTTACACCAACACCACGGGCACCGCACCAGCCGGCGTTGGTTGGTGGCCGAGTTAATCCACAGCCAAGACAGCTCCTAAGTGACTGACAGGCAGGTGGCACGTACAGTGTGGGTCTGAGGGACGCAGGGACACGCAAGACAGAGCAGGGCAGTACGAGATCTCATCACACAGTTGGGACAGTGTGCCCCTTACAACTCGGGAATGATTTCTGTAGTTTTCCATTTCCTATCTTTGGTTCTTGGTCGCAGTCGGTAGCTGAAAGCAGAAAAGCAGAAGGACAGAGAAGGGGCAGCCAGCGGGGGTGGGGGTAGGGGGCAGCGACGGGACTCAGGGCCTCCCCGACCCCAACGAGGGCAGAGGAAGCAGCATGGGAAAGAAACGCCGTCCGCAACTGGCCCAAGGGCAGCTCAGGTGCGCACGCCACCGTCTGTAGAGTGACCTCGTGCGCCACAGGATTGCACGCTAAGCTGACAGCAGGGCACAGGGTGACTTCCTGCCCACCTGGTGGTGCTGGGTGACGGGGCCATCACGCTCTGCTTACTCTGTATACATTTGCGGTGTTCCCTCGTGAAGAGTTTTGATCCCTACACAGCAGCAGTGGACGTCCCAGCCAGCCAGTGAGCCAGCACGGTCCATGCGTGAAGCAGCCTGACTCTAACAGAGCAGGAGGCACATCCCGGGGGCCTGCATGGCCAGTGCATCGATGGAGTCCTGGCTGAAGTCTAGTCATGGGCTAGTTTTAGTTTAGGAATTCCAAATTCCACTCCTCCCGGGAAACTTGCCTGTTTGGCAGATGTCAGCCCTTTAGCAGAGAGGTCACGGGGTCATCGGGTACCCCTCATGCCTATTACCAAGTAGGAGTGTGGACCCCACCCTCCACCCTCCACCGATGGGACATATGTCTGTATGTCCCATCGCATCCTCCTTTGCCCACCCTGACCCCTACCGAGCACTGCACCAGCTATGGGACCAGTGAGAGCTCAGCTCACAGTTTTAAACCTCAGTTTCCCTATCTGTAAAATGGGTCCTGAAGAGCCTTACTGTTACATAGCCCAAGAACCAGAACTACGAGGATTTGGGAAGCCAGGTGTGAACCCCTGACAGTGTGGCCAGAGCAGGGTCCAGAAGCTGAGGCAGGCTTTATGGGGGCCCAAGAAGGTGCTGGCCAAAGACGGCCTCCCCTCAGCATAGGTGCCTCATTGGACTAAGAATAGCGATCTGGCTCCTGCTGGATATTTCTTCTTTATGTAACAATCCACGTTCGCTATCTTGCAGCACCCCGCATATGTGGCAATGACACTGCCGTTCCCTAGGCCCTCACTTCCCACGGGCTGCAAGGGGAGACAGGCCTGACATCTGCTTTCTAAACCCTCCCTGGTGCCAGCTGGGGACCTCACAGGCATCTTATAGAGGACAGCGACACAGCCAAGGTGCGATTGGTCCAGGGACGCAAGGCGGCAGGTGGGCTTGGGGTGACTCAACACAAACCAAGCTCTTCACGACCCCTGCCCTCAGCATCTCAGGACCTGGACACAGGAGCCCTGCCCGGGGGTAACCAGAGAGGGGTGCGGTGACCCCAAGTCTATCAACCAGTCATTACATTTTTGCCTAGAACTTCCAAAATTTGTATTCATATATATGCATAAATATTTCTTACACACACAGTATTGCAGGCAGAACTTTTACAGAAGTTTATGGACAACATGCTTTTTGTTTTGATTTGGTTTGGCTTTTTGACATCCCGGGTACCTGGTCCCGCTCCTCCACCCCTGCCCCTACCAACCGCCTGTCACCCATGGAAAGCCTGGCGCGTCCGCTTCTGCCCTGGGTCTGTCCCCCTCCACGCGCTCGGGGTGACATCCACGGACATCCAGTTCCCGAGGCTGGGCTGGCACCCGCCCGAGGGCTTTGTGCTTGCTTTCAGCTGGGGCCAGGGGACGGGCTGCCTCTCCCTCATGGTCCACCCCCACTCAAGAAAATGTTAGCCACTCTCATTGCTTCCTTCTGTGGGTTTCCATTTCTTTTCCCTTTTTCGGTACTGGGGACGGCACTCAGGACCTTTACCCCCAGCTCCGGCCCTGGCCCTTTAAATATTTAATTTTAAGACAGAGTCTCAACAAGCCACTAAATTCTCAAGCTTGGGGGGGGTGGTTGTCTCTCTGTTTTGCTTTCTCATTCCTAGTCCGCACGCTCAGTACCCAACGCTGTGCTCCTCGCGGGAGCTGCAGGCTCGGAGCCGTCCTCGTCTCTTCATTCCTTGCCCTCCCCTCCCCCATTCCTCAGCCCCCTGCCCCTTGGTACAACACCTAGCTCCCCGTTTCCTATTATCTAGCTTCTGTTTTGCTGGTTATTCTCACTTTGGGTTCCTCACATCAGAGAACCAAACAATACTTAAGCCTGGTGCCCAACTGACTCAGTTCGCGAGCCCTGTGGTCTCCAGAGGACCCACTGTGCTTCCAGAGACTTGAGCCTTCTTCCTGGCCGAGTGGGACTCCACGGCGGGTAAGTACCACAGTCCTTAGTCACCAGTGCTGAGCTGAGGAGCCCAGAAGGCTCCACCTCCTCATCTGAACTCCCACGGCCCATGAGCATGCGTGGATGAGCTCCACCCCGCCCTGCTCCCAGTCCTGACACAGGGTCATCTCTCCACCTCCTTGCCCCGCACCACACCAGGCCCCAAGAACACCCCACAGCTGTTGCTGGATGCTGGACCTGCCTGACCCCGCCCCACGCACGATGCCACCCACCATCACACAGAGAGACGGGTCCTTTGTGGCAGGACAGCAGAGGTTGGCCCTGCCCGGGGAGGAAAACCAGAGAAGGAAGGTATCTGTGACTCAGCTGAGACACGGTGACAATACCGAGGGAAGAGCTTTCTCAAGTCAGCCTTGGGGATAACAGGGGATGCGATCAGGAGGCGCAATCTTGCACACGCGTGTGTGTACTCAGGCACATCTGTGGCTTTCTCCCCTCTCTCCAAACAGATGGCCCCCAAATGTGCCCGGGGAGCCAGCTGCTGCTGACAGAGCCGGGGGGAGATCCACTTCCTGACGCTAGAGGGGCTGGGTGGGTGGGGGCCTTCTTGTCACCTGCCCTGATATGCATCTGCCATTTACCCCTGCCACCCACTCCCAGCAGCCCCAGGGAAAGGGACCGAGTGGGCTGCTTCCTGCCACTCGATGATGCCGGCCATGGCTGCACCTGTGTTTCCTGAGGCCTACAGCACCATCAGCTCCGGGAAGAGTGACCAGGTCCTCCAGCAGGATGGGGACCAAGGTGCCAGAACTGGGCAGGACACTGTTTTGTCCCTGCTGGAGGACACCTATGACCACAGTCACAAGAGGCCCCCTCCTTCTCCCTCTTTCACCCTGTCCACCCAGGAAGATGAGCCCCGGACAAAGCCCCCAACCACCCTGCATTGTAACACATGGCCATCCTGATGCTGCTGTGGACCACGAGTGGGGGGCTGGGAAGGGAGGGGGAGGAGGGAGGGGAAGGAAAGGAGATGAGAGGAAGGGGATGGGAGAGGAGGGGAAGGGCGCAGGAGGAGGAGGAGGAAGTGGGCGCTGGGGCGACGCGGAGCCTGGTGAGGATTGCCTTGCACATGTCTATGCTGCAGCAGGCTACCTGATATGGGTGATTTACAAAGAATGGAGGTTTGAGGCTGGGAGTGCCAGGTCATGGCAGGGCAGCTGCTGGGCTCTGGCAGCACAGGACAGAGGACAGAAGGGGAGGTGCGCACACAGGAGGGACAGCAGGAGGGCTGGGCTCGCTGTCTAATGGCCCTGCCT